GATCATATTGGTACATGGGGATGTGGGAAAAAAAGCAAGAAGAGGATTACTATGTTAAACTGACCTGCAAATGTACTGCATCATCTATGTGACAGGGAAGATGCAGTGAGTTACTCAAACTATTGGGGGCAGTTCTATGGCCTTCTACACTTCAATATAGTCCTCTCACAAAAATTTTCAGTCAGAATATTGCCATTGCTTTAAAATTAAAAAAAAAAATCCAAATGGCACAATTAGTATATTTTAGGTGATGGTAAAGGTGAAAATCACACATGCAATCTTACAAATTTATATGAGTTAAATTCCCGATAGTTTCTTTCAGTTGTATGCAAGGATCTTCCACTAATTCTCTCAGTTTAATTAGTTTAATTTCTTTGCATTTTCTTGTTAAATAAAGCAAAAAAAATACTCTGTATAACTACTCTCATGGAAGTCTTTTATTCATTTTCTTTAAACAGAATATGCATTTGAAATGAAATTATTTTTTTCCTTTATGCATCATGCATCATGTGTTAGGTTAGTGCTGAGAGAGGTTAATGCTGCTGGACCATTGGTACTAACTGATATACAGTGGCTTCTGTCTTTGTCACATGGGAATGGGAAAATGAGTCCTCTTTTTATTAGAGTATCTTTTCTTCACCAGCAGGCATCAAACTGCTAAATCACAAGAGTTCCTACCATAGAGAATGCAAAGTCATAGTGATAAGTAATTTTTAAAAGAATGGAAAATGGTTATATTTCGTCTTTAATTTTTTGTAAGCTACCCTAGGATTTACCATTTTCTAGAATGGCTTGTGTTTTCTTCTGTCAGTGAAGCAGAGTAATCACAAGAGTAGATCTTTATTGTATTCTTTATTCTATTCTTTATTCTATATTTATAACCTACTTTTTTTTAAATTGTCCTTTACCAACAGAGAGTTATTCAGCAAGTTTTAAGGTGGCAACTCCCACTTTAAAACAAGGCGTAACCCAGTTCTCTCATATGTTTTCGATTCATGTTTTTTTCAGCTATCGAACTGTATCTTGTCTTAGGACCATCTTGGAAATCAAACAAGTGTTATTGAACAAAAAAAGATACTCCTTTTTGTAATTAAAATTGTCTTTTTTTACAATAGTTATTTAAATTCCTTCTTATTGGCTGCAGAATGGGCTTGTATTTTTCAGGCAGATGACTCTGACTGCAGCAACAGACGCATTTAAAACAGACTGCAATAGGATTCTACTTTTGAGATGTAGCGATTGGATGGAAATCTTCTTCAGTCAATCAGATATATATTTAAATGATATTTATTTTAAAATCGAATACTCTAGTTTAAAAGATGTGCAATTGTTTTCACATTTACTACCTAAAATTGTAAAGGAATGCTAAAGAACTAAGTGATAGTAATTTCACCTGGAAGTTTGTGTGAAATGATACTTAGTATGCAATATTAATAGTTTAATTTATCAACTCAGCTGCATATTTGGGTATTTTTTAAGAAACCAAAAGAATTTTCAAAAAACACCTTTCCTTACTTCTATAATTCTTTATGTTATTAGTTATATTACAAATTTTAAGCAATTCAAATGATAGAGGGTTATCATGCCATGTTATAGAACCACAAAACTGTTTGGGTTGGAAGGGACATTAAAGATCACACAATTCCAAACCCCATGCCATGGACAGGGACACTTTTCACTAGACCAGGTTGTTCAAAGCTGCATTCAACTTTGCCTTGAATGCTGCCAGGGATGGGGCATCTACCACCTCTCTGGGCAACAAGTTCCAATGCCTTACCACTCTCACAGTGAAGAATTTCTTTCTAATATCTAATCTAAACACCTTGTTTTGGTTCTTTAAGATACTTCACTCTTAACAAATAATCATAAGTAAATATATAGTCCTATAAGTATCAAAATATATCACACTGTCAATATTGTGTCAATATTTAAAGAAAAAAAATCATTTTTGCAGCAGCAGCAATGTAGAGTGTAGGTAGGCGGGTGGGAATGGGCTGGAGAAATCAATAGCCAGAGGAGACTTCATGAAGAAGGATATGCACCTCTGTCATGGTTTCAGAACCGTAAAATCCAGTTCCCTAGTCCAAGCCCCCCCTCCCTCATCTCAACCCAGTGTGAGATGGGTTTTCCAGACACCACACAAGACTCAAAATGGGGGGAAGGGAATATATATTACAGTGACTGTACAAAATAAATATTACAATACATTACACACACAATCTCAGCTATCTCTACCATGACAAAACAGTATTTACAATGGATTAAACCTCTTCTCCCTTCCAAATAAAAGTCCAGGAGGGAAGAAGGAAGAGATCCTTTCCACTCTCAGAGCAGCAATGTCTCTAGGGCAGCAGGCTCTCTTCTCTCATGCAGCAGCTGTAGCTGGAGCTCTGCCAGTACACACGAGGGGGTATCCAAGCCCCTCGGCCCTTTGTCTCCAAGCGAGGGTCTTCTCTTCTGTGGGCTATGTTCACCAAGACAAAGGTCACTTCACCACATCATATCAACGAAGTACAGAAGCCTTCGTGACGGTCCGTATCTTCAGGGGATTCAAGCCCCCTTTGCAGAGCTCCCGTGCTCTGACTGAAAACTACCAGCTTGGCAGTAGCAGCAGGGGAGCCAAGGTCACCCCCTCTGCATTCCTTCTCTGAGCTTTTCAGCTCCTTTCTGCAGTGCTGTAGCACTCCAAGACTCTTTCAAGTAGGAGTCCATCATCCTTCTCTCTCTAGGAGGGGTCTCCAAGGAGTTTGGGGGGTTTTGGTTCAGTTCTTACCCCAGCTCTCTCTCTCCCTGTAGAGTTTATTTCTGCTCTCTCTGCTGCTGGCTCTCTTTCTCTCGGACAACTCTGTGTCTCTCTTGCTTGCATGCTGTTTGCTGCTCCTTATCTCTTCTGGCTCTCTGCCACTTTTCCTCGGTCAGTGTTGTTCTGCCGCTGCTGCTGCTGCTGCTCACGGTGGAGAAACTTACTTCAGCTTTCTAGCTACAGGTACCTAGCCCAGTTTAACACTGTTCCAAGTCCCTGTAGCCCCCCAGCTTGTGGTTCATGGGGGGGCTCAGCCCCCAGTGGGGCTGAGGGCCCCTCAGCTTGTGGTTTTCACAACATGGCCACCTCTCCAACAACAACAACTACTTTCTTTTCCGGTCTAAGTGTGATATGTTTATATTTTGCAGAAGTACTCATTGGCTCAAACCTCAAGGGTCACCACCCCCTGGGGGTTTACCATTTTATAACTTCGGGGGGAAAACTGTTTTCTCCCACCACAACCTCTCAGAAAGGGTAGGAGCTGCAGCTGCTGCTCCATAGGAGAGATACTGCTTGCTGCTATAGCTGTGCCCCCTCACATTCCTTTCCAGAGCTTCTACCAATATAGTTAAATCAGAGTCTTCAGGCTTCCATTTCTAGCCATTCTTTGCCTACTGCTGGGCAAGGAGGTGAATGGAATCTTTGCACTTGGAGTTTTGTTGTGGTAATAACAGTTAAGAGTAGACAAACATGGGAATGAGAGAGAGGGTAAAGTAGTAAGAAAGCCCATTGTTCATGAAGGATGTTTTAGTTCTATATACCCTCTTAAAATAAGAATTTATATGCAGACCTATCAAAATTACATACAATATATTTATCATGTTCCTTCATATTTAAGGTCATTTTAAGGTCATATTTAAATCATATGCATAGAATCATGGAATGGTTTGGGTTGGAAGGGACTTCAAAGATCATCTAGTTCCAAACCCCCTGCCATGGGCAGGTACACCTTTCACTAGACCAGGTTGATCAGAGCCCCGTCGAGCTTGGCCTTGAGTGCTTCCAGGAACGGGGCAGCCACAACTTCTCTGGGCAACCTGTGGCAGTTCCTCAACACCCTGACACTAAAATATTTTTTCCTAATATCTAATCTAAACCTACTCTCTTTCAAAGTCATTGCCCCTTGTCCTATCAATACATGCCCTTGTAAAAAGTCTCCACCTTTCTTGTAGGCTACCTTCAGGTCATCCTAAAGCCTTCTCTTCTCCAGGCTGAACAATCCCAATTCTCTCAGCCTTTCCTCGTAGGAGAAGTGCATCCAATGATCTTGGTGGCCCTTCTCTGATCTTGCTCCAACAGGTCGATGTCTTTCCTGTGCTGGAGACCCCAGAGCTGGTTGCAGCACACCAGGTGTGTTGTGAGTGGAGTGGAGTACTCCACCAAGAGTGGAGCAGAGGGGCAGAATCCCATCCCTCAACTGCTGGCCATACTACTTTTAAAGCACTACCAAGTTCTTCTCAGCAGAGTTGCTCTTGATCTGTTCATCCCCAGCCTGTATTGATACTGGGGGTTGCCCCAAGCCAGGTGCAGGACCTCGCTCGCGCTTGGTCTTGTTAAACTCCATGTGATTCCCATGGGTCCACTTCTCAAGCTTGTCCAGATCCCTTTGTATGGCATCCCGTCCTTCAGGTGTGTCGACCACACCACTAAGCTTGGTGTCATCAGCAAATTTGCTGAAGGTGCATTCGATCCCTTTATCTACGTCATTGATGAAGATATTAACTAACACTGGCCCCAATTCAGACCCCTGAGGGACACCACTTGTCACTGATGTCCATTGGGACTCTGAGCCATTTACCCCTACCCTCGGGATGCAACTGTCCGACCAATTCTTTATCCACCTAACAGTCCACCCATCCAATCCATCTCTCTCTGATTTAGAGAGAAAGATATTGGGATGGACTGTGTCAAAGGTTTTACGGAAGTCGACATAAATGACACCTGTAGCCCTTCCTTTGTCCATTGATTTAGTCACTCCATTGTAGGCACGACTTGTCCTTGGTGGAGCCATGCTGGCTGTCTTGATTCATCTCCCTTCTGTTTTTAATTGCATGTGAACTATGTTAAGTTAATCTGTTAGTCATGATGATTTAAAAATGGAATTGATGGAATCTATTTTGAAAGCTGGATAAGAAAATATCGCTTTCTGAATGAAAAAAAAAAAAGGACTTGACACACTCTTTCCTTCCTTTGCTAGGACATGGAAAGTGTGACTGTGGGAAGTGCAAATGTGATGAAGGCTGGTATGGTGAAGCCTGTCAGTATCCAACTACTTGCAATCTTACACGGAGAAAAAGCAATGAAATGTGCAAGAATTCTCAAGATATCATCTGTTCTGGTGCAGGTAAGATGTCTTTTGTTGCTTTTGATGGTTTGATGCTCTCTCAGTGTTATCTTGAGAATCATCGTAATTTCTTTTCTAACAATTTTGTAGAGTATGTTTCAAAAGACTGAGAAATAACTGTATGCATACTAAAGTGTTTCATTTTCCTATAGACCTATTTCTATGCATATAATGTACACTGATTCAGAATACCTACTTTAGTACTCTATCCATAGCTGTTTTAGGTTGGTGAAACTGCAGCTGTGTCATGTATTTTGCTCATCAAAATGTTGTGGTAATGGCATTAACTCAAGAAGTGATGCAATTTCTTATTCATGTTTGTGTTTGCAGCGTGCAAAAATGGCATTTGCAAATATCTTTCCGAGGCATTTATAAGCTGTACAATTTTTTGAGACGCTTTTGAATTGTAACAGTGATTCTTAAAATCAGTTGTAGAAAACCTTCTGAATAATTTTAAAGGGGTACTTTCATTTTCAATTTTCTGATTTGGTAACATTTTTTTCTCTAATTGTTTAATTTAATAATCATCCTAACTAAAATAGAGAGTCCTTTCCTTAAAAAAAAACAAAACCAAACCCAACACCCTCCCAAAAAAAAGTCAGAAAACCAAACAACATTTAGAAGACTTCACTGCAGAATAGTAGAATTTTGAAGAGCATTTGCTACCAGGCAAGGTTTGAGACCAGAAATTGCCTTCCAGTTTTTCCATGATATTGATCACTGAATGAATGTTTCAAGAACCTCACTTCTGCTCACTATTCCTGGCCTTTAATTTCTCTCTGGGTCCATACATTTTCATACAACGAAATTTCTCACAAGTTAGCTGCTGGCATGAGCAAAGAACCCAAAGGATTTGTGGGACTTGTTACAGAGAAGTTAGCCCTCACAGCAGGATGTGAAGCCAATTTAACATAAAACTTCTAGCATGTGGCATGCTGAGTAAATGATACATTTCATTTATGACAATAATATAGATTATATGAAACTCACAATTGAGAGACAGATGAGAGACAGCTAAATGAGAAACTGACTCTCAAAAATAAGTATAGTTCACTGTTATTAGTCAAAGTTCTTAAAAAAACCCTCTTTCTTTCCTTGGCTAGAAGTGGCCCCATTCTTCACAGAAAAAACAGTGTAGCTGAACAACCACTATAAGAAGGGGAGTGCTTGTGAATAAATGCTTTTGGTTTTGCTGATATTAAACAGGATAGGAATGGTGATATTAAACAGGAAAGGATGAGACTGGCTAAGGAATTTGGGGTAACTTTGGCTGTAGTCATACGTATTTTCTCTTGGTAGGATTTTCTTTTGATCTATGACTAGCATTGATCTTTGAGTCTGAGCTCTGTTTTTTAATTGGCAATAAAAGATGGGAAGGGATGACATGAATTGTTACAAAAACAGTCCTCTGCAATCACACAAATAATTATTTATTGTAATACTTTTCATTAATCAATCAGGATCCACCTAAAATTTCACTTTTCTGACTCAACTGTTCCTAATCATTTGTCAGAATGGGGATTATCCGTAAACATAACAGTTTTCTTAAAAATTTGATTTGTATTTGTTTCCTAAATAATTATAGTAAATAATTTGAGTTCTGTAGGTTACTTATGTTGTTTATCAGTTGTATTATTATTATCTTATTATATTAGCTCTTGAAAATATTTTTTTGAATGTCTGCCTAATATTTCTGTTCTTTAAATTAATATGTTTAGTAAAAGTTGTGCTGTACTTGTAGAGGTAAAATGTAAACTGATTTCTACAAACTAGTGGTGTAATATCAGCATAAAAGTTCTATTTTGGAGGAATTCTTTGATGTCAATAACCATGTTTTCTAAAATATGTATGGGTGTAACATGAGAAATATGAATCTTGTGAAGTTCATTTTTTCATACCTTCTGCCATAGTGATGTCATTGACTGCTGAAACAACTTGTGCAAGCCTACTGACCACAGGGCCCCAATAACATGGTATTGCACAAAATTCCTAGCCTTGCAATTTTAATAAAGGTGAGAGAGGTAGAGAAAAGGGATGTCTTATATGACCAGCATGGTAATACTTTTGTTTCTAATATGATTTTAATGTATTTTTGCCCATTTTTTGACTGTACAACTCATTAATATGTTTATTTATGAGCTTGGGTCAGATAAACCCTTTGAGGAAAAAAGGGGGATTCTTCTTTCCCTAGGACCAACAAAATGAACTTTTCCTGTTTGGGATAACATGTCACGGAGAGAGGCAGCCACTGAGGTGAGGGGGCAACCCTGTTCAAAAGACCAAGAAACAACTGTGGGACCAGACCAAAGGCGATATAAGAGATCTGTTTACAAACCCATTTCCCTCTTTTGCCTTGTCTGAGCACTCTGGCTTTTCATTATGCCAGAAAGTTTTCTTTTGCGGTTTATGGTGTGGGAAAAAACAACTCTACCCTTCCAAAGCACATGAATGTTGTACCTCATTACAGCTAAGATTAGACTTTTTGATGATATGGATTGTTTCTGTGTCTGTCTTTATTTGATTGGATGACCTTAAGATTTCAGCCTTCTGAGACATAAAATATGTACTATCTCTGATGGACTAATGAAGCTCTTTCTATAAACTGCAGTCACTGAGTACTGTCTTAAATGTTTACAGGCACGTGTCAGTGTGGCAGGTGTAAATGTGCAAACACAGAAGGAAATGGACTGGTGTATGGCAAATTTTGTGAATGTGATGACAGAGAATGCGTAGATGATGAAACAGGAGAGATTTGTACAGGTATGTATTTTAATGAGTGCAAAAAATAGTGAAAATTAATACAGGTTGTTATAATTTAATTGTGTGGTCCTAAAAATAACTTTACTGAATGCATGACTTAAAATAAAAGTAACTGTATTTACAAGAATTTAGTTTGCAAATTGTAAGTGGAAATTTCAGATACAAAAATGAGCTAAGCATAAGGTTAAAGAATGAATAAATCCTGTGACATCCTCCTTTTTTTTGGAAGAACTGCAAAGAGGATTGCATAAGATAATTCACTAAGGTAATTCAAAGCTCATTGTGTCTGTCTTCAGTACAATATAAGAAATGTGAACGCTTTGTGGCACAAATGAGAGCAGGATGGAGGACATAGGAGAAAACAAAACAAAGCAAAACAAAAAATAGATTATTAAGAATTTTGAAAAGGAAGTAAAAATTAAAAATAGCAAGAATAAATGTAAGATGAGAACTCAAAAGCAATTCAGGAGATAAAAGCAGTTCAGGAGATAAAGAGAGAAAGGGATGAATGAATGAAAAAAAATCATCTGTGATAGGAAAGACAGGAAAATCAGATGGAATGAACTCTGCCTATAGATAGAAAAGCAACCAAAATTCAAACTGTGTTTTCATTTCAACATAAGGTAGGAACTGGGCAACTAAATTTTAAATACACACCATTTATGGCATTATAAATGCTGTTACCTACATTGCTAGGGAGGCTTGCCCTTGAGCTGGAAGGTGCTACAAATACTGTCCAAGTCATACACATGCATACTGTGTCTGTATGCATACAAGTGTTCTGATCTGCTCTTAGACTATTCATATCTAATGATGTGTCTGTGTACAAAAAGAGAGAGAGTACTTGTGTAAAATAGCTTTCCTGTCTTTTCCTTACACAAAGAGCAAAATAAATTCTATTAATTTAAGTGCCTTTGAAGGCAAAAAGAACTTTCTATTTTGCACAGGATCTTGCAACAATTACATATGGTACCAAATATGATAAAAAAATTATCATTTGTTTGGTTCCAGTAAATTCTCTTTCCACTGTTTTTGTCTGTATTTTTCCTCCACCTGTTTTGCTGCTTGTTTATATTAAGTTTTTCTTAGCTTTTATTTCCCCATGTTTCATCCAATCATTCCATATTTCAGAAAAGACCAGATGCATCTGTGTGAAAAACTAGTTTTATGTGTATGGAGAAATCAAAGTATGCTGATAAAAAAGGACAAACTGTGGGTAGATTCCAATCTCTGCAGTTGGTGATTGATCAGCATAAAAGTCATGATACCTCATTTAAGATTTGGAGCCTTCTAAAGTATAGGTATAAACTAATGCTTTACTTGACTTGATTGGGTTATATTGTAAGCTGAATAGGTTATGCAGGTAGGCTATGAGTGTTACATTTTACTTTGCTTTCTAACAAACCTCTACAGTACAAAACTATGTTGAACTAGGTTTTATGCAGAAAAAATGGACAGCAGGTGAACTGAAGATCAGAGGTACATAATTTCATCAACTGGGAGCTGAAATTTTATCCTGGGAAAGCACACAATGTCATGCTGAGATATAGATAACATGCATTTTTATTTTTGCAAAAGGGCACTGCATTTTTTTAGAACTGCAAATCAGTTCTTAGGTAGAGCAAAGTTGCAAAGATGTGTTAAGCTTTTCCAGCCTCAGTTGGATTTCTATCAGTCAATTGTCTGCCTCACTTTTTATTACAGGTTACATAAATTTTGGAATCAAGTTATAGCTTATTTTTAATAAAGTGTCCTGGTTTCTAGCAATTTAAATTCTGATCCCCATCTTTATTTTCTTTTTGTAAGACTTTTTGACTCTCATTGAATGATTTTTTTCTTCTGTCAAGAGAAAGTGATAGTGGCATATTTTATCATTTAATTCATATTTATTTGAGGAGTATAAAAGTGTGAATGAAGCATGAAGTTCTGATATTTTAATCTGTAAAAACTGCCAGTATATTAAATTTATTTACTCCTTCACCATCTTCCCTGTTATTTCTTGCCCACTGTTCAAAAACAACCTTTTGGTAATAAGAATTATTTTGGATTGTCTTTGCTGCTTAATTCTCTAATTAAATTAATTGTTTTTGACATGTAACCAAAGAATTGTAATGAAAATTACACGTGTAGTTGCAAAAACAGGAAAAAAATTTATTGAACTATTTGCAATCTTGATAGTTAAAAATATGCATTGACCTGATTTTCATAGAGATGACCAGATCTACTAAGTTGAAGGGAAGGAAGAACAAGATCCTGACTTGATCCTTCTAGTAAAGAATTAATTTATGTCTTTAAGATTAGTAAGAGTTGCAGCTACTTAGTTTGAATTCTTTGAGCCACTGAAGCACATGGCACAAGTACCTTAGCAGATCAAAATGTTCAAGAGCTGGTTTCATCAAGTCTCAGTCGATGCAAATGTCTTTTTTGAGATATGTATGATTTGTTAAACGAACATCTGAAAGATTTGTTTTGCTAATAATTATTTTTAATGAACTGGTTTATTTGTGTTCTAAAATCTTCTTAACAGGTAAGAAGAGTAGCCATACAGTGTAGGCAATGTGTAATAAATTAAGGTCCCCTTTCTGTAACGATCTGAGGAGTCAAGAACATACAATGCTTTCTTAGACATGCTGAGTATGATGGACTCTTGTGTCCTACCTTCATATGTAAAGATGTGCTTAAATTTTAACTGTTACACTTACCATCTTCCAAACTGATCTATAAAGTTGAGCTTACAAATATAAAAATGTTGATTATAATTAGTGGTTATTGATTAGATTTAATCTGTGATTAAATGAAAACCTGTTCTAAAGCAGTGGAGAAAACTATAATTGAGATATCCTTTGTCTTATTTTATGTAGTCATATATGATCTATAAATTGTTTCTATTCTGAGTCTAGCTCTAGAAGTTTTTAAAAGAATAGATCAAAACAGTTAAATTGTTAATGCCTTTTAAAAACTTGCCTTTTTCTCACTGTATAAAATTTGTTTTGGCTTAAGGCCATGGAAAGTGTTACTGTGGAAACTGTTACTGTGAGGCTGGTTGGCATGGAGATAAATGTGAATTCCAGTGTGACATCACCCCCTGGGAGATCAAGAAAAGATGCACATCTCCAGATGGCAAAATCTGCAGCAACAGAGGTGTGTCATTCGCATGGTCCTTCTATGCATATTTATATAACTTGCTTTTATTTTGCTCTATGCATTTGCTACAGTATGACACTGTGTTTGCTGATAGTTTCTAGTTTGTTCTCAGCTATTTCAGGTCTGGATATACATTTCCAAGTGAGTGGGCAGATACCTGTGTTTAAGTATAAACTTAAACAGATCCACATCCATTTCTTGATTAAGCAAACCTAAGTTGGTCTCATCTTTTTGTTTTGTAGTAAGACTGAGCAGGATAATTTGTAGTAAAAAAAAAACCTGTGAAGTGTTCAGTAACAATGGTGAGGAAGGTAGACTTCACACGGTATTTCTAACTACCTGGTGTTTTATTTGCACAGAGTTTTGGAATTTGAATTTTACCATATACTTCTGTTTAATTTTGCCATTTTGGAAAAAAAAAGAGCATAAAATAAAGTTGTTTTTCACTAGCTGCTGTGTTTGGCTTCACTGAACAAAGAGTTAAAAAACAGGAGGGATTTTTTTGGCAATAGTCCAGAAATATTACAGTAGAACATAAGCAAAAGTCACATCTCTACTGACAAAACCTGCTGTACTGCAAACATCAAATTATCTTGAGAGAATTTAGAAAAGTCTCTTCTCATAATTATGAGAAGAGAAATACAGAGATCATGTAGGCCCATTTAGTCTTGAGACTTTAAGATAAAATTTTTGTGTAGTTCTGGAAATAACAATCAAAGTAGCTTCAGATCAGATACTTTCTTTGCACTGAGAAAGTAATTTCTTGTCAAAGAATTTGTCAAAGCGAGTTTTTGTTAAGATTTGGAATTGTATCGTGTGGTTATAACAATTGGAGGAATTGAGTGAGTAGTATAGCTGGTATTCTGGGTACTTACAACCTCCTATACAAAGGTACATTTGTGGGATACTTCTATATCTTTAGCTTTTTGTATATTCGTGATTTTATTTTCATAAAACATTTGTAGACTTCTATGACATGAAGTTGCTTTCGAACACAGTATTTTTGCTCCATTTAGTCCTACTTACCCAGGTTTTAGTGTTTATACACCTTGCTGTATAAGTGCAGTTCATCTTGTCAATCTTGAGACTTGTAAAAATCAAATATTGGGGTTAACCTTGCTGTCTACCCTCCTTCAGTGCTAAGTTGGATAAATTGGCTTTCTCTTTCCCCCCACAACTGTTTAGTCAACCAGCTGAGACCAGATGTGAACCTTTAGATTTTTAAACTTTGGAGAAATGGTGTTTTGCATTTTGATATCCAGGACAGCTGATCCAAATTCACTTTGAAGTTGTTTCTGGGAGGATTAATCACCCTCTGGAGGTGTTTGCTTTTTGGTTTTCTGTTTGTTGGTTGGTTTGGATTTTTTTCTTCTTCAATAATGTCACTGAATTGTGAACGTATTAAAAAATCAGGTGCAAATTTCCTGAGGGCTGCGTTGGTGGCTTTAGCCTTTCCTGCTTCATTTAAGTGTCATGCATACACAATTGTGTAGACCTTACCCTTTTAGAGAAAGTGCTCATATCTGTATGTACTGTTGTCCTCAAATGCATTATATTGTTTAGAGTAATCTGAATAAGATGACAAAGGTGTTGGCAGAGTAGCAAAAGGTGGAGCTCCTTTGCAGGAAATGAGCTGCATGCATCAGTAAGGTCAGGTTGCTTCTAAGGACCTGTTGGCATCTCAGAAAAAGCAGTGAATCTGTGGTCCTGAAGCATATTTGTACTTCTGAAGAAGGAAACTGGTTTTTTTTTTTGTTGTTGTTGTTCAGATTTTCCTAAGTGTTCTCAGTATATTAGTAGGATTGTGCCAAATTTGTATTTCTGTCATATTTCACATTTCTTCTTATTGTAAAGAACTGGGTGTGGCCCTGAATATTGACTTGGGAAAGTGGATAAATATCCTTTTCAGATAGATCTGTGCTGCAGTTCTTCTTAGGTAAAGAATGACCTCCTAGACATTTTCAGCTGGATTAGAATTTGTATTCTATTGTAGTCTTAATATTTATGCTTTAACAATCATTAATTATCTATTGTGCCCAAGCCCAACTCATTTAAACAGAATTGATTTTTATTGTCATTACTGTCAGGGCAAATTACTGTTGATGTCAAAGATTTATGACTGTTCTGCGCACTACGTTTTTCTGTTGATTCCTAACAAGGCTCAAACAGCAAAAAGAAACTTGAACAGAAAGCCAATTTGTTTATATAAACTATTGCTACTAACTAATCATAGAAGGTTTCAAATCATAGAAGATGAACACTCGCTCATGATTAACATGCAGCTTTGAAACTGCATTCCCGTGAGAGCTAAAAATTCACAAGTGTAAATTCCTGTAATCAAACTACTATTACTTTAAATTGCTCTGTTAATCTTCTATCTCTGTTTTTTTTTTTTCCTCTTTCTTAGGCACATGTGTATGTGGGGAATGCACATGCCATGATGTAGACCCAACTGGTGACTGGGGAGATATTCATGGAGATACTTGTGAGTGTGATGAAAGAAACTGCAAAGCAGTGTACGATAGATATTCTGATGACTTCTGTTCAGGTAAGGATTTTTTATAATGTGTAGTTTTATAAAGAGAGCACCCAACTGGTCTGATCTCCCTCTTCTCTAGTGCTCCAGTTCTCCTCAGGAGGAGAGGCTTCGGAGTGGATTTTTTAAATTAAAAGACATAATTCTGTAATTATTTTCTATGCCATTTAACAAAATTCTGTAAATATTAAATACTTTTAGGTGTCCATCTCTCTTCTAATACTCTTGCATTCAGTATAACCTAGCATAAATTGGATAATGGTTGAAACTTTAAAATAGAAGATATAACCTTTCTTGGGGAAATTTGAATTTGAAAGTTTGTTAGATCGAATTGTATTTGTTATTTCATGTTATACGGCCGGGAGAGAATAATCAAGAAGAAGAAATTCAAGGAAAAGTAAATAAAGGAGTTAACAAAAAACAGTACCCTGAAAATACAAAATGACATGAGAACAAGTAGAGCATCAATATATGGAAAATATGAATGTGTGGCCCAGCTGCACAATACTGACTGTACATCTTAGACACTTCTACCTTCCTTTTTCTTCTACTTGTGCTTCAGAGCATTATGTTCAAATTGGTTAATACCATCCATCCATCCATCCATCCATCCATCCATCCATCCATCCATCCATCCATCCAAGCTTTTCAGTGTATTTAGATGGATGCTCCACGTATCAACTAACAAAAGCTGAGATTCCGAGTGAGACCTTGCATACAATTTTGTGTAGTTACTAATAAAGATGCTAATACCAGGCAAGAGAGAAGGACTTTGATCAATACGCGGCATGCAATTTTTACACACAGGAACTCTGCAAAAACAAATGAGTGACTTCAAAGGGACTTGACACATTAGAGGTTGCCAGCTTGAATGCATCCTGCAAAAACCTTATCTGACCTAATTAATAATAGGAAGAATGCAGTCACGTCAAGGAAACTAGTGATGTGGTATATTCTCCTTCTATTACGAGAATGAAGGATCCATCATTGAAAGACCAGAGGAGCTGTCTGTAACAGAGAAAGAAAGCAGAAACCAACACGATACATAAAATTTTCAGCTTTTTCTTTTACTGTTAAAGAAGTGGAATTTTTTTCAATTCTTATGTTAGGGTTTTTTAAATAAATATTGATGAATTACTAGCTAATAAAATGAGTAAAAAAAAGAAAGAAGCTATTCTGAAAACCTTCAGTGAATTAATTCACTAGTTACTGTTTCAACCACTTGCAAATGTTATATAGGTTCATTTAATGAAAGATCTGGAAGGATGAAGAACTGCAGTCATGAGAGCAGCAGGAAGACTTACTTTGGGATGTTGTCAGTTTTTGAATGTATCATTGTGTTGCTGTCAATGTTTTTAGCAGTTTGGGACTGATCAAAATATCAGCATCAGCTAAGGAATACAAAGCTACAAATCAACCTGATAAATGTGTTCCATAGTTAAGGGTGAACACAAGAGTTTCAAACCTAATTAAATTGAAGCAAAGCTGTGGCATCTACAGCTAATGCTGCATAACTGAAACACTGATACTTGAACTCCCCCTTTTCTGGATATTATTGCCATTGCAGCTGCTGCTGCCCAGAATGGTAATGGTTGTAAGAAAGCACAGGGTAAGTAAGACAGTTACAAATGAACTGGGGGAAGGATATTGCCATTTGACACTGGATTAAGGACTGATACAGTGTTCTTTATACTGATATAACTGTAAATGAACAAAACTGTATGAGAAGACATACAAAATGAGGGACTCATATGGCTTGTTTAGTATAACTAAAACCCATGTTGAAGTATAGCTTAATTTTTCCATCTAGTCATCACAAATTTTAGTTGTAATTATTTTTATCCATTCCCTATTCATTATATTTTAGAAAAGCCTAATTTAGCCTTAGCTGGCCATCCAAATATACATTATGCAAAAAAATCCATTTTCACATGAAGCAATGTGAACGTCTTCCAGTGCTGCTGCTTAGTCATATTTCAGAAATAGATAAGAGGCATGAGTATTAATTTTGGTTTCTTGTGGTAGACAGACAGAATCTGCAATTAAACCAAAGATTTAATAGTAGAATTGTAATTGGACAACTTACTTGCTGCACAAAGTGTGCATACATTACGTGTGTCTGCAAAATATCCTCATTTTTCTCACAATTATTTGTAAATTGGTTTGGGATGAATCCAAGAGGGATTAGTCAGATTAGAGAAAATAATCCATCTCTCTTAAAACCTTCATGAAACAGAGATGATAAGAAATTTTCTTGTCTTATTCTGCCTATCTAATAGCTATAGACAGGAAATCACATTGTCCTGAGTAGCATATTGAAATGATAGGAAGTCAGGTTTTCATGCAAAGAGTTTTACTGTAACTGAATGAAATGTTATGTTTATTTCATAAACTATGAATGACAGGAATTGGCAACCCTGCTGTGAGAATTTAACATCACACAAAAGCAGCTTCCTCCAGAAGTTTCATATGACTTGAGGAGACTGTCAATTCACAGTACATCGTATTGGCAACTAGAATCCTTTTTTTAACACCTGAAGTGCTATTCAGTATGTTAATGAATTATTTTCTTTCAGAAGTGTTCTCAACATTAAAGTGATTCTCTTCGTTTAAAGAGATAATAGCTTTCATGACTTGACACCAAAAGAAAAAAGGCTTCCACAAGGAAATTCATACATTCACACATCTCATTAGCTCCTTTGCTGTGACTCTAGCAAAGAAACTATTGTATGAAAGAACATAATCGTCTCACAAGTATCTATCTGGATTAGAGAACATAGCTCCAATTCGCAACCTCTTTGCAGGTACACATGAAAGCAAAGGACAGAATCATGGAATCACAGAATATTTGTGTTGGAAGGAGCCTTAAAAATCATCTAGTTCCAACCCCAGCCACGGGCAGGGACACCGTCCACTAGACCAGGTTGCTCAAAGCCCCATCCAGCCCGGCCCTGAACACTTTCAGGGATGGGTCATCCACAGATTCTCTGGTCAACCTGTTCCAGAGCCTCACCACCCACTCAGAAAAGATTTTCTTCCCAATATCTTGTCTAAACCTATCCTCTAAACAAGAGGAAGACTTTAATGCTTTTCAAGGAAAATAAATAACTAATGTAAAGAAACATTATTCTTTAACGTTAACTTTAAGACATATTCTGGGAATTACTCTGATGACTCACAGAATGCTTGCTTCCCCCCATTTTCTCCTTTTGAACTGATAAATGGATACAAGCCATTCTTAAAATGCAAATACGGTTAGAAAGAAACATAAAATCTGTGTTGCTATGTTTTCATGAAGAACAAGGATAGAGAAGTGGACTTTGAAGCAATGCTTTGGTCCTGTGTCCAATGAGTGATGACTATGTGAAAATTGTGAGAGTTCTAACCTGCTGTCAGAGGTCATGAAAATAAATATTTGATTTTGTGGCAGGGAATGTTTTTGCTGATTCTCAAACTTTCCTCAGTGTTCAAGAAATATTTTGTATTGCCAGAATCTCACTGCTTTAGGCAAAGAGCAAAAAGAGGGAGAAGAGCAATTTTCTTGTTTTTTCTTGGTCTGGATATGTTTGCATTCATAGAGGAAATAGGCAGACTCAGGAAGAGTCAAGTTAGCCAATGAGATACCAAAAATCATATCCAACTACCCTACTGAAATGAGAATTGATTATGTCCAATATTTTATTATTTATACATCAGTTTTTAATAGAAGGCACTGGTTTGAGACTTGGAATTGATGGGACATTGTTTGTCTCTAGGAGATCACATTGATTGCAAGTAGATAAAAGATGGTATTAGTATATTTTGTAGAGATTATGCTGCAACTGTGGTAGAAAAAGAGGAACATAAATGTAAATGAAACGGTGCCTTATGACACCCTACTTTTCCAAGCAATGGTGAAATGTATATTTGTAACCTCTATTCCACCCGTTTGCATGTAGATCATGTGCTGAGTGGCAAAACATGCCTTAAGAAGAAAAGAAAAAAGAAATATGGCTCAAATGGAACGGGAGACCAGTGCTATTTTCAGGGGGAAAAAAAAATGTAGATAGAGTGAAATAATTGAATTTTTTTGCCAGGCTAATTATTGAATGAAGCCACAACTTTGATAAAGTTCATCTAATTATGACAGTTTACTACCTCATCAGAATGAAGGTTAATCTTAATTTTATTCAAGGTCATGGACAGTGTAATTGTGGAAGATGTGACTGTAAAGAAGGATGGACTGGGAAAAAGTGTGAGCATCCACGTTCTTGTCCATTGTCTGTTGAGGAAAGTGCTAAGAGATGCCAAGGAAATTCTAATTTACTTTGCTCTGGAAGAGGTAAAAACATTTCTGAAAGAATTTTCATACTCTTTAAATGTACTTCCATTAAAAGAATTTTAATGATGTTCAGCATTACTAGTACTGAAAAATGTGTACCTTCTTGGCTTATTGTGCATGAATCTCACATACATAACTTGTGAGTTAGGAGAACGGAGGAGAAGAATCAGAAAGGTCACCTATTTTGCCTGTCATCTTCTGCTTTGTGTTTTATTTTACATATCAATAGTTGTTTTGGAGGTTTTCAAGGATGCTTTGAAAATTGCTGCAGCTAAGTCTTTACTAATGACACATTAAAAATATGAATGTATCCTATGCACTCTTTGCTACAAAAGCAGCATGACATTTGCAGCCTGTGTAAAATGTTGTGGCACCATTGTGATAAGGACTGGATTTACTCTGCCTGAGAAACTGCGTAATTGAGTACAAGACTGACTCTATAAAATGCAGCTGTGCTTCAGCACAATTTGCTAGTTGGCCACCGGCTTTTCATTTGAGAAACGTGACATGTGACATATTTCTTTGTCACACTGTAGCCTTTTCCAAAGTTTTGACTAAAAAAGTATACTAAGTCATACGTACACTTGAAATCCAAGCAAAAGAAAATTTTTCTCAAAAGGAAATGGACTTGCTAATTTTCATCTGTCCCTGTGTGAAATGTGGTTTTCTGCAGAGAGAAAAAAGAAAAGGAAATATGAGAGAGTATTGGTAATTGGTAAGTTGTTATGAATTGGTAGGAGTTGTTATTCAGTTGGTAATTGAAGTTGTTATGAATTCTGACCACTTAAGTATTTGCTGGGAAAGGTCTAAAGCTACTCTTGATTTATTGCATTTGACCCTAAATGTCACTTCATTTGCAATATCTACTTAGTCAAAAATTGTAGGTTGTCCACCCAGGTTAGCTCTGTGGTAATTGCTCTTTTCTCCCCCTGTAAATGTATAGCAGGTCATAACTTAGTAAATGCAGCATTACCAGTATCTTAAAAGAACTGTGTGTTAACAACATTGTTGCTCGTTGTTTATTTTTTCTTAATTAAGACACAGTTTTCAGTGAGACCTCTCTTTTATTATTAAGAATTTTCAACGGAATTTTTGGCTATGAGTTAGGTGAAAAATGAGCATCTGTAGAGAATTAATTACATTTTCTTGTTCTTAATTGCAAGAATGACAACTAACAGAAATGAGGGTTGACTTTTGATTTATTTTAATTTTTTTTTAATACTGGCTCACTTTTTTTTGTTGTCATCGGATGCTGAATGTCTCTTCTTTCATCTGCTTCACTAGAAGTTGTGTATGTTGAGAATTTGGAGTCATAAAAAGAAGTTTAATTTGAATAAATATACAGTCTTAGTTATGGAGCATATGTGTTCTATTTTATATTTAAAATACTTATATTTTAAATTTTGATTTTTTAAATTAAATATAATGAAAAGAGTAATTTTAAGATTTCAAAATTAATGTCAATAATTCTATCCTTTTGACTTTCTGAAAAACACTTATTAATGCTGGCAGTGTTTTTCTGTTGAGATATTAGCACTGAAATAAGTCCCTTTCAGGTGAATTCATTTGACTGAGTGATCTGTCAGTCAAAATTTTAAAAAAAAGTACAAGCAGCTTCTGTTGGAACAAAAAGCTTAATTGATAGTGGCTTTCACTGAACTTTGACTTCCAAACACAAAGAGATCACCAAGGTTTTTGAGGAGTGCAAAAGGCACAGATATGGATTTAGGACATAGCATGATGGACAGCTGCTGTAACAAAAGAATGAGAGATTCTGCATTCCACATTTGAAAAAAGATTTCCATGAAAACTGAAATTTTAAAATGGAAAGTAGTATCTTGTTTTAGTTTTATGAACAATTTTGTTTAGGAAATCGAGAGAGAAAAGGAGAAAAGATATTTTAGTCTACTTATCTGTGTTTTAATGGATAGTGTATTTTCTTTTTTTACATTGGATTTCCCTTTCCTCCATTATACTTTGGATATAATACTAAATGTAAATAAGTTGCTGCCTTGCTGAAGTGATTAGTTTTACTTCCTGTTAGCATTTAGTTCCTATGAAAAACTGCCACTGGACATGCACATTTAAATTCATTGTTCCCATTGGAAAATCCAACTACTTGTCATTATAGCTTTTCACGTACAGAAGTGTGAAACAAGAAAATGAAACAAAATAAACATTTTCAATCAAGCACAACCTCTTTCAAGTCTTCAGGGTTGCAAAAAGCCGTGTACTTGTAACACCAGGTCCAATTTTTCTGACATCCATGAAGAGGATTGTGTGACAAGAAAAGGAAAGTCCCGAAAGAAAATGGGAATGTGTAGTAGGTTGACCCCGGCTGGATATCGGGTACCCATTAAAGCCACTCTCTCCCTCCCCTCTGCAACTGGACACAGGAGAGAAAAAAACCAGAAAAGTATTCATGAGTTGAGATAAGAACTGGGAGCGGTCAGTTACTGATCACAGGCAAAACAGACTCAAAGTGGGGATATTAATTACATTTATTACTGACAGGATCAGAGCAAAAAAGTGAGAAGTAAAATAATCTTAAAAACACCTTTCCCTCTCCCCTCCTTCCTTCCAAGTTCTACCTCCTCCCCCCCAGTGGTGAAGGGAGACAGGGAATGGGGGTTATGATCAGTTGTTGTTTCTGCTGCTGCTCAGGGAGAGGAGTCCTTCCCCTGCTCCCTTGAGGTCCCTCCCACAGGAGATTGTCCTTCACAAACCTCTCTGGCATGAGTCCATCCCACAGGCAACAGTTCTTCACAAACTGCTGTCCCGTGGGTCACTTCTCCATGGGTGCATTCCTTCATGAATGAGCTGTACCAACGTGGGTCCCCCACAGAGGCCACAAGTCCTACCCAGGAAAAACACATTCCAGAGTGGGCTCCTCTCTCCATGGGCTGCATCTCCCTGGCAGGACCCTACTCCATCTTGGGCCTCCCACAAAGTCACAGCCTCCTTTGGTTATCCAATCGCTCCAGTGTGGGCTCCACCACAGGCTACAGGTGGATCTCTGCACCCCAATGGTCCCCCATGGGCTGCAGGGGCACAGCTGCTCCACCATGGGCTGCACCACGGGCTGCAGAGGCCTCAGCTCTGGCACCTGGAGCACCTCCTGCCCCTCATTCTGCACTGACCTTGGTGTCTACATTGTTGTTCCCATGTTTTCACTCTTCTTTTCCCTGACTGGAATTTTCATCTGTGCAATAACTTTCCGTTCTTAAATATGTTATCACAGAGGCGTTACTACCATTCTTAATTGGCTTGGCCTTGGCCAGAGGCAGGAAGCCGGTTCTGAAGCCAGCTGGCATTGGCTCCACCAGACAGGGGAAGCTTTTAGCAGCTTCTAACAGAAGCCACCCCTGTAGCCCCCACCCCCCCACTACCAGAACCCAACCACAGAAACCCACTACAAAATGTTACATTTTCTATTTGAACATTATGGTTATGGCAACAACCTTGTATTATTTTTCTCCTGGTTATGACACAAGGACAGTAAGTCCTTGTACAGGTCACGAATCCACTGTACTGCCAAAGGACCTGAGTACTTAACAGTCTTATTTAATGGGGTCTTTTAGTAAAGCAGTTCATGTATCAAGTACAGAATACCCAGAGATGCAGATGCATGACTTTATGATTTTGCCATGTATTGTGTTTCCTTGAAGAATGTTTTCAGTTCATCTGTACCTTTTGTTTCTAGATTAGTTGACAGCAGTTGTGTCAGCTGATGTACTCTTCTGTGATCATTTTTATGGTCTTGGATAAAGACACTGAAGGACAAAGCATTTTTAGGATTTTTAATGCCATATCGATAGCCAAAACGTGCAGACAGAGAAAGATAGAACTGCTATAATGTCTTTCTACAGTCTCTGTCTAAATTATGACATGCACTGAGATTTTCAGGTGGAGGAGTTTCAAACTTCAGTTACAATACTCTGTTCCCAAGATTAACAAAAGTTTTATTTCCTAGATGGTATTTTCTTGTTGAAATCTTAAGTATGACTTCCAAATGGGATAATCCTGCATTTAAGCAGTATTAAAAAAAAACCAACAAAAAACATGCTGCCCTAGAAAGCATTAAATAAATAGTCCTTTAAAGCTTTGCCTGGCCATTTTTAGGTTTTTGTACATTTTTCAAATTTTTCTGATAAGGAGTGCTGTGAAACTCGCAATGGTTTAGCTTAAGTCTTTAAAAACTCCAATAATAATTACGGAAGGCGAACCTCAAAAAAACCCTAAAAAAACCATACCCAAATCAAATAAAGCACCAAATCTTTTAAATTCCTCATTAAAAAAAAAAAGGTTGAGATCTGGATATATTTGCATTAGAGATTTGGAATAATGTGGGCTTGTCAAAAAAAATTATTTAAAATTATATAATAACACAAAAATCACGGCAAAATGATACTTTTCATATCAATCTGAGGGACTCAATGTTTCCATCTTTGAACTTTATTTACCTTAATTTTACCTAATTACCTAATTTTACCTTAATTTTGATAAGGTTCTTAATTTATACTCTATATTTTACTTTCACAGGTAATGATAAATGGAAAAGAGAATGTTAGCCTAACCTTATTTTTTTGTTTTTTTAATGATTCAATGACACAATTTGTAATATTATATACTGTGAGGTTTTTATATATGTTTTCCTCAAATTTTTATTACTTACCTCTAAGATAAATTATATTACTATGTAGACAAAAATAGGGAAAGCAATGGAAACTAAGAGAATTGTCACATGGTACCCAGATTTTGAGAATCCCATGTTCCCTTAACTGTTAGTCATGTAACTTCAGCAAGAGAAAAAAGGTGTGGGAAAAAATAACAGTGAAATAAAACATTTTTAATGTTGAAATGTGTCAGGGTTACATAAAATTCTATTAATTTTTTTAGAGAAGTAAAATGATACTATGAAGAACACAACTTAATTACATAATTCCTGTCTATAAAATGCAATGGATTACAATTTCTCAATCTGTATTTTGCTCTTCTGA